GAAATAATTGAAACAACATAAAAGCATTTATAATGAATAACATCTGAGAATATTTTCAAAATCAGTAGATCAACATATGTCTTAAGCAATAAAGCCATAAATGTCAAAGCACTTATTTTAATCATACCACATATTATAATGTTGAAGTTATAAAATGCCTATCAGATGATATCGGACATTTTCTGCAAAAAGCAATTTATTATGGCAAAAAAGCTTTTATGAATTGCAATCTTCTTCACTGGATGCATGGCTTACTATCTATCCTAAGAGTTGATAAAGGCCTAGTTATATGTTAGTATGTTGGGTGATTACAGCCACTGCAATTTGAAAACCCTGTTTCATGTCTTAGTTAGTTTAGTAATGATTTATGTAACAAAACAGGACTTTAAATGCATGGGCCTATTCTAGATTGGTGGTAGGGATTATAAGAGAGAAAAACTGAATGTTGGAACCATCGACTAGTATAACTACCTATATAATGGTTAGTCCCACTTGATAAAATGTGTCCATGAAAGAGACTTAATGCAAGATGGTTTAATGACATCAGCAAGTATTGTAGGACCAATCAGCAAAAGAAAGCTTAGGACCATATAGGTTGGAAACATGTGGAAGAGGCTGTCATCCTGCAATGGATAGACAACGGCTAAAATTATGATGATGATGAATGGTTAGTCACACGATAAAAATGTGACACAGACATTCTTATAAGGTAAGGTAAAGGTTCCCCTTGCACATACATGCTAGTCGTTTCTTGCTCTAGGGGGCGGTGCTCATCTTTGTTACAAAGCCGAAGAGCCAGTGCTGTCCAAAGACATCTCCGTGGTCATGTGGCTGGCATGACTAAATGCCGAAGGCGCACGGAATGCTGTTACCTTCCCACCAAAGGGGTCCCTATTTTTCTACTTGCATTTTTACATGCTTTCGAGCTGCTAGGTTGGCAGAAGCTGGGACAAGTAAAGGGAGCTCACTCAGTTACACGGTGCTAGGGATTTGAACCGCCGAACTGCCGACCTTTCTGATCGACAAGCTCAATATCTTAGCCACTGAGCTACTGCGTCCCTCTTATATGGACAGGCTAATTATTACATGCCATGTGACCAAAGTATGGGGCCACATATATGTCAATCATATTTTAATATGCAAGTTGTACAAATGAAGACATATAATAAGAAATATAGGAGGGTGGGATTAAAAATAATTAAATAGTGCAGCAGTGAAGACTTGATTAATTCTTGTCTCAGCTTGTGCTCTAAGGACTTCTTTCCTTTTTGAACCCAGATTTGATTTGGAGAGGAAGAGAAGCCGTTGCACAACCAACAGGACAGAAAATGGTGGAAAATAAAATGAGAGTTTGATGCTGTTTTTGTTCTGTTTTGTTATTAAAATACCTTATTCATCTAAAAGGAAGATGATCTTGGATTCAGGGAACAAACAGGAGAGAGAAGAAGAAGGAACTGAGGCAAGATAAGAGGACAAAACGCAGCAGAAAAAAAATGCCAAAAGTTGCAAAATGAAAAGATGAGTACAGAGCAATGTCTATTAAATTATTGTTCTATTGTAGAAATGTATTAAAATCAGTGGAGGATGAAATCACCACTGTTTTGTGTATCTAAGATTTCTACGGTTATACAGTTAACAATCATACTAGTCTGTAACGGATTTTTATTTATTTATTTATTTTGCAGATGCTCCTTGGATTTATATATGACATTCCCATCTTTTTGAATTCCCTTTTCTCGCCAGTTCTGATGGGACTTACCTCCACTTAACCAATACTGATTGATCCATTCAGAACATTTTTCTTTCTTCTTCCAGAATTGTGGAATCACATACAGTCTATTATACAGGGTATCCCAAAAGTCTCAGTTAGTTTATGTGTCTAATGTGAGTATACAGATGTATAGAAGAAAACAACATTGAGGTTATATATTTTGAGTTCAGTTTTAACAATACAGCATAGATAAATTCATGTCACTTAGAAATTTGGAACCCAAAAGTAGCATGTGAATCGGATGCAGTGAAATCCTTAAGCCATGTTTTATTATACCACTTTTTCTATAGATATATTAATACGTTGCTCCCTTTTAGTGGATTTTGCAGGACATATGGAGTTTTAGATATATATATTCAACTCTTGCTGGTTGATCAGTACAATCTTGCATCTCTGGCACTGACCAAATTCTGCTTTGTTGCCTTTAAGACCTGAAGCCAAATTTCGACTTAGGAACAGTCCCTGGGTAAAATATTTAATTGCTTCCTATTTTTCATTTTAAACAATAATGCAAAACCATGTTGTTATTTCATTTTGTGTCTCTTTCTGTATTTTATTGATTTATTAATTCTTTTATACATCAATTCAACATATCTCACATGTATGACTCTGTGATCTATATACCTAATGTAAATGTCTCTTTTGCACTATGGCATGAAAAGGATCATAAGCAATAAAAGTTTCAGATGTTTTTTTTTAATTCAGAAAGATGTTGCTTTGTAAAACACAGTTGTGAAAGGCCCAAGATGTCTGACAATATTATTATCACACTCACAGTTGGGGCCGAAAAAGGTCACAGAGTCAGAAAAAATGTTGTGAAGTTCCTTTTAATATCTTTTGGGAAAGGAGAGGTGATATTTGTTCCCTAGAAGTAGTTAGATGACCTTTCTTAAATATTGAAAATGGGACCAAACCAGTTCTCCTTGCCTTTCTTCCAAGATGTTTTGATCTGGGGATCTGAATATGGAATGGATGAAAAGGTGTATCTTTTAACCTAGTCTGTGGGGCAGGAGAAACTGACTTTCAACTCAGTATATTAGAAAAGGTTACAGGCGCCTTTTTCAGGAGGTGTCATGGAAACAGTAGTCTCTTTGATTTGATTCTTTTGATCTGTGACCCTCCAAATATTAAGTTTTAATGTCCAGTGCCACTGGTTGCTATGGTGGCAACAGCATTTGCATTGTTATAGCATCATGCTATAAGCTCCCCATGCATGTGATGTCACAATGCACATAGAAAAAGGTGGGGCTCATGTTGCTGGCCAGTGGTAGAATGTGTTGAGTTTTGAAGTTCTACAACCTTTGGAGATCCATTGTTTCCCACTCCTGGGGTGGGGGAAGAAAAAAAGATTCATCACCCATGGTCAAAGCTTATACAATGGGTTAAGGTTTCCATCATGAGTATGGATACACTGACATTTCTCTTTTTAATGTTGCCATAGCATTGCTTCATCACCATAGCAATCGCTTTTTGGGTATCGTACATGTCCTTTAATCATACTTAACTCTTCCCCATCATAATATCCTCTGATATAATTTCCTTGGCTTTAACTTCGTTGGGCATATTGCCATGATGATTAGCATTGTTAGTCAGAATTTTGAAATCTTTTTCAAATCTGATTAATATTACACCATAATTATAATACAACACGTTAAATCTGAGAAAATGTTATTTGTGCAGTAACCTTATGGGGCACAGTAACCTGTAAGTGATATACATGCACCTAACAATTCTCACTCTGAAGTATTTTAAATGCATGTTGTAGCACAGTTACTTTCAGTAATATAGGTATGCCTCAACTTATTGCTACTCGAGCAAACTCATTTCAGTTGTAAATTGTGTTGGTTGTACAGTGGATCATCATATGAACAACTGAATTTTATGTCCTTTTTGCAGTGGTTGTTAAGTGAATCACCATGGCCATTAAGTAAATTTGAATCATTAAAGCAAAACCATTGTTTGCTATGGAGCACTTTTACTGAAATTGAGAAGTAAATACAATTTTATAGAAAAAATGCCTCAAATTGTGATCCCCTGCAATCTCAGTGCAACTGCAAACTCAATGCAATGTACATATGCTGTTGTCAGAATAAATATCAGACGACCCCAAGATTCCTGCTGCATTTCTGCTTCCTGAGCCAGCCGCTCTTCTTCGTCCCCTCAGATAGCCCTATTCCCCCCCCACCCCCGCCTTGATTTCCCACTGCAACCATTTGGATCACAGGAGGGTTGCTAAAGAAGCTTTTGTCTTCTCCTGTCCCACTCTTTCAAACTTCTCTCTGCAGCCCTGGAAATCGTCTCCTGGAGACTCCATCCCAGCTCCAACCCTGCTTAGTTTCCATCCTAGACAAGCCCCCTCCCAGGTGCGCTCTGGGAATCCAAGGCTTGTTTTCTCCCCCCCCCCCATCTCTGACTTGAGCAGAGCAGGCACTGGGGGGGGGGGCAGGGAGGGGGCAGAGTGGAGGGGCTCCTGGGTTTTTTGCCTGAGCTGGGTGAAGATCATCCTGGTGGCCCCAAAGGGTGGTCTTTCAGATTGCTTTAATGATTAACAGGACACTTCCCTGAACCCCCAACTCCCTCCAGTGGGGAGGACGGCGTCTTGCTGGGCCCGGGAGAGATGATGGCTGCGTTGCAGGGAAGAAACCCCCCCCAAAAGCCCCTTGGGGGTAAATGAATGAATAAACTCAAAGGGTCTTGGGACAACCCCCCCCCAGGTAAATTGCACCAACAAAAGACAGGTGGCGGAAGAGCAGGGACCTTCAGATTCAGAAACTTGGTTAAGCACAAGCTGCTACTTCTTCCCTCCCTGCCCTCATTTCACGTTGCCTTTGATCACAAAGCAGATCTTAATGATAAACAACCCTTTTGTAACTTACCAACTGCATACCAACTCTGCCTTCGGGGAGCTTTCGTCGGCCGATAGAAGCGGCCTCGTGGCGAGGTACGTGCGTATGGACCGCTCTAGGTGGGGGAGGAAATTAAGTCACCCCAAAAAAGGTGGCCTAGCCGTTTTTTTGGGGGTCAAAAAAAAAAATAAGGCCCGACCTTATTTTGTGAGAAACACGATAGTAGCGTACCAATGGCATAGGGTGTTGTCTAATCATTTCCAATTACTTATTGCTGAAGCTTCAAAACTGTTACATTAATCATAGCATAACTGTTGGATGCAAAATGGATGACATGTACAGAAACACACACACACACACACACTGAACCATTTATACGGTGACTGATTTTATTCTTTCTGCAGTTTCATACTTCAGGATTTAATTATATTTCTTTCCTTAGAGCAACAGAATATTTTGAAGGCCAATAGAAATGAGCGATTGGCCCGAAGTCTGTAACAAATATTTCACTTTTATAAAAAAAAATTAGGGAAATACAAATCAAACTGTTAATGAACAAGCTAATGTTCTACTCCAGCAATGAATTAATTATCCAGATCATGAAACAATAGTTTAAAGTTGTTTGAAAATGGCAAAGCCCTCTTGTTTAGATTTTATGCAAGATTTTGCAAATTTTGTCACTTTTTGGAATGCTTCTGAGAGTCCATCTCCTGTAAGTGAACAACAAGGTTGTACATACCAGTTTCGGTTTTGGCAGTGCTTCTTCATGTTGAGTCTCCGAGTTATTTCTTCAGCACTCAGAGCTCCAGGAAGATCCTGCTTGTTTGCCAGTACGACCACAGGTACATTTTTAATATTGTCATGTCTTAAAATAAGCTCCAGCTCTTTCTTGGATTCTTCCAAGTGCCGCTTGTCAGAGCTATCAACAACATAGACCAAGCAATCCATGTCTTCCAAATAGTTCTCCCAAGCAGTCCTCATTTTCCACTGACCTCCAACATCCCATATTGTTAAGGTCATATCTTTTGATGTTTTAATCATCTCCACATTAAAACCAATCGTTGGTTCCGTTAGGAAGACTTCATTACATTTTAGCTTGTATAGAAGAGTGGATTTCCCAGATGAATCTAGTCCAAGCATTATAATCTGGGCTTCTTTGATTTTCAGTTGTGTAGAATTTATAAGCCCCATTTGTTAAGCTGTTAGTTTTGTTTGCTGTTCTCCTTATGGGTTTGGTGTCTGTCTCAGAGAAGAATGGCTGGTAAAAGAGGAAGCAACAGAATATAAGGTTTCTGTTTTGTAATAAGAATAAGATTGGGCATGTATTTGTTTTATGACTTTACCTGCAAACAGAATTTTACAGGCTAACTAAGGGTGGATTTATATTGACATTAAAAACGGAAGTTGATTAATGCCAAGGTAAAATATATATAAAGGTTTTATTGTTTGCTCTTGTGACATTTCTCTTTAGACATATTACTCTTAATATAAGGGTAAGTATAGTTTTTCATAATATTATAGTCCAGGTAGTCCTCAACTTACAACCACAATTAATCCGAAAATTTATGTTGCTAAGTGAGACAGTTAAGTGAACTTTGTCCTATTTAATAAACTTTCTTGCCATGCTTGTTAAGAAAATCACTGCAGTTGTTAAATTAGTATCACAGTTGTTAAGTGAATCTGCCTTCTCCATTGACTTTGCTTATTAGAAGATCGGATAAGGTGATCACATGACCCCAGAACATTGCAACTGTCATAAATGTGAGTCAGTTGCCAAGCATCTGAATTTTGATTGTGTGACCATAGCGATGCTGCAACGGTCATAAGTGTGAAAAATGGTCATGTCACTTTTTTCAGTGCTGTTGTAACTTTGAACAGTCACTAAGATGAACTTTTGTAATTCGAGAACTTGTAGAGCAGTGATGGCTTACCTTTTCATCATCATGTGCCAAAAGTGCGTGTGCATGCATGTGCACATGTGTGACTACACCTATAATGCAATGCGCATGTGATACCCTCTGCCCCCTGTGCATGCGAGACCCCCCTGTGTGCATTGTGCGCATGTGCGCATGCCTGTGCAACCCCGTGTGCACCCTGGCTCCCTGTGCATGCACACGCATCTCCCACGTGCACCCTGCCCTCACACATGCACAGCGGATACTTGACAATCAGCTGGCTGACGGGAGGTACACGTGCATGCGCAACGGATCTGTTCCGGGTGACAGCTCGCATGCCAACAGAAATGGCTCTGCATACCACTTCCGGCATGTGTGCCATAGGTTCGCCATCATGGTTGTAGAGTATTCTTACTAAAGTACCCATTCTGTGACATTCTCCGCCCAGACTCTCATCATTGTTAGGCCCTATTTTTCAAGCTTTTTTGATTTTTTTTTTTACAGCCTCCAAATCATAACTGGTCATGCTGTTTTTCTTGGTAGATGTTCAGTGACTGGACTGCATAGGAATGAAATAATTTATCATACCCATTTAGTTGTTCTGACCAAGGCTTTCGAGACCGTAATTAAGCACACGCTTAGTTAAAGCAACTCTTGTTTTATTTCAACGATGGGAATTATATTTATTCCCAGCCTGTAATGAGTCCCAAACAGTCCCTCGAGATAAGCACCCACCTTTCTCCCCTTTGAATTGCTGCCAATAACTATAGTGCCAAATGAACTATAAAAAAACCAACCAAAGTACAAAGTCCACACAAAACTTCAGAATGAACAACTTTGCTTCCTACAAAAGTTTCTTCACTTTTGCGTGTCTTTTATACCTTATGGGAAGGGCAATCACCTCCCACCCTTACTCCCAAGTCACCCCTTTTGTCTCAGCTGCTCTTGTCTTCTAGCAACTCTGCACACATGCGCACTGGGAACAGGCTCCCGTGGTTCCTCTGCCTTGTTGCTGCCAGACTCCCAGATGGTCCTGGCCCCATCTCTGCATTGAACGCAGGACCCTTGTCTGAGTCCTCTCCAGACTCCCAGACTGGTCCCTGTTCTTCCCTACTGTCCAATTCCACTGCCATCTGCACAGGCTGCCGGCGAACCACAACATTAGTAAAGCAAAGATGTTCATTAGAAACTGTCTCTGAGGCTGAGGTGTGGCGGGGGGGAGCAGTGGTAAAAAATCAAGATGGTGCCTCAATCATGCAATTGTTTATGTGACACTCAAAAAGAGAAATGGTTGTGTTGCATGGTTGTGGCCATTATCTTGATTTTTTTTTTGCCTCTCAATGCCCATGAGAAGATTGAATATCTTAACAGAAATAGGCATACAGATAGCCTTCGGACTCTTGTAAGTTATTAAGTTATTAGCTGTTTCTAATTTAGCTAGTTGTTAAGCTATTTTTAATTTTTCAAAGAAGGATCAGGGATTCTTTATTAAAATGCACCACTTTCAACTGCTTGCACAAAACAGTAGGTTAGGTAAAATTTAAAGAATACTGTAGAAAAATTGTAAACCTCTGGCTAGATGTGTGTAGAATTTAACTGAGGGGCTTACTGTGGAAATCCTGCAGGGTTTAAATGTTTCATTTTTTTTCTTTGGATTAATCTTAAGAGGAACTGAAGCTGAAGGTGATTGCAAGTCCTGATTGCTAGAAACAGGCTTCTTGAGATCAGCTATTTTAGAATTTATTATATTTTGTTATTTAAGAAACTAGGTAAACTTGTATTCAATTGAATAAAGCAATCTTGCATTTAAAGGCAATTCTGTGGTTGAATTTCCATATCATGCTAAACTCTATTTTTTAAATCATAGTTTACTAAACATAATACTTATGGTAAGACAGTCAAATAACAGACAGGAAATGTATTAAGAAGATGAATAAGAAAGGTAATTCTAAAAGAATTAGAAGAATTAAGACTTACGTGGATGATTCCAAGAGCACCTCACTCTACTGTAGTCATGAAGACGATATGGCAAAAGAAGGCCAGGTTCCAGTGGAAAATGTAGACATCAAGTACTGTTGAGACAAAGCTTTAAAACTGACTGAATAGAAAATCAAGGTAAATAATGCAAACAAGAAGTACAGGCAAAATGGGATAGGTCAACTATTGCAGTAGAAAAGGAGTGGGCAGGAAAAGTTGAACAAGTTAATAAACAACGAACAGAATTGCATTCTCAGGTTTCAGAGGTTGCTTTCATACTAGCATATTTCTGATAACGTGATGCAAAATGAGCACACTTTTGATGATAAAATATGTTGCAGACTTTGGACCTGAGCTGGCTAATGTACAGGATCAGAACAGAAGAAGTAATTAGCTAATTAGAGGAATTGGACAAAATGTAGAAAAGTCACCTTCTGTTGGATAGCTCGTCTCAAAACTTAATGACAAGCTACCTAATTTAAAGCTTTTATATTAAAGATGTAGAACATGGCCATAGGTTCAATCAGATCTAGGTTTAATCAGATGCAAACACCAAGGGATATAATAAAGAAAATGCTTGGGTGAGAGAATTTTGCAAAATGTCAATGGGCGTGAACATATAAATTAGAAAGGAGATAAAGTAATTCTCCCCCCCCCCCCAAATATTAGTCTAGCTATGCTTCAAAAAGGAAAAAGCATTTAAGCCTTTAAAGGAAGAATTACTTAAAAGCAAAATATGAAATGAAAATTGTTTTTCAAGCTATATTATTTTAGTCATAATGAAGAAAAACTATTTCTACCTATCAAAACAAGAATATGGAACTAATAGAGAATAATTTTATATTTGAAGAATTGGTATACTTCTGCAAGAAGACAATATAATGAAAGGATCACTTGGTGTTTGGAATGTAGAAATTGGTTGATTGTTATAAAATAAATGCTTCATATTGTTACATGCTAATTGGGAAATGAACAAAGCACAAAATAAATAGCAAATACAGAAGTTAATATAAGTACAAAATGATCTGAGAAGGGAGAAACGAGAGCTCAATTAAGCACTTCCTCAACCTAAACCAATTAGAGGATTTTCATTAATTATTGTTTATATGTGGCTTACATTGGATGGGGGATATGACTGAAGAGAGGATCTGGTTGCAGAAAGGATATGGTGGAGAAAGATAAGTTTTAAAGGAGGAGGGGGAGAAAAAGTTTTAACGAGGGAAAGAAAAATAAGTTTTAAAGAGTTTGCAAATTTAATTTCAAAGATTGTGACATCTTCCCAGTTATTTCTCCTCTGGCCACTTTAGAAATCTCAGCAGTTGTGATGAGAGCTTATTGTAGAAAGATGCAGATGTGATGAAAGCTTATTGTATAATTCTGTTCGAATGCCAGTGAATGGTAAATTTTCCTTTTTAGAAGGGCAGGTATAAGTGGAACGAATTTGGGGAGTAAGAGATGAAGTTACCAGATGGCAGAAAGAGGTAGCTGGTCTTGTAGTGAAGTGAAGGAATTCAGCAAAGAAGAGTCAAATTTGGTTAGAACTTGGATGTACAATCATCCCAGGGCTTTATCCTAAACTGCGAAATGCTGGAAGAAGACATTGGCAACTCCCCGCACCCTTTTTAATTGTTTCCATGAACTTTACATGTACATATACTAGAAACTGAGCTCATGTATGTCTTTAACTTTACTTTCAGAGAGAAGAGAAAGGATTGACAGTTGGCTAGAGGAAAAAGAAAAGGAAAAAGCAGATTTTAAAAAAAGATTCTACTTTTGCGCTGCCAAAATTAACGAAACATTAACATTTCTGTATCTATCTGCTGCTATTTAGTGCTCTCTGTGAGGGCGCAGTGGTCTAGCAGTTAATACACTGAGCTTGTCAACTAAAAGATTAACAGTTCAAGACCCAAGTACTGTGTGACAGGGTGAGCTTCTGCTATCTGGCCCAGTTCCTGCCAACCTAGCAGGCATGCAAATGCAAGTAGATAAATAGGTACCACTTCGATGGAAAGTTAATAACATTCTATGCACCTTCTTTGAGTAGTCACATGACCATGGAAGCATCTTCAGACAATGCTGGCTCCTTCAGGTAGGAAATGGAGATGAGCATTATCCATAGAGCTGACTTGACAGGCGTAACCTTTACCTTTTTGTAGTGTCCCAGTGTCCCAAAGGTAGGTTCTACCTCTTCTTGTGTGTGATGATGATGATGATGATAACAAGTTGCTAAATTAATCCATTGGTCATTAGGTAAAACATATGACTTACCTGTATCCAAAAAGTCATGGGAACATAAAGTAGAAAAAGTTGTCAAAAATGAGAAGGTGAAGATCTTGTGGAACTTTTGAATACAACATATTTGGCACACAACATGCCAAACATCACAGTTGTCAAAAACTGAAGGGTACAATTTATTGCTGTACCAGGAGACAACAGAGTTGAAGAAAAAGAACTGGAAAAAAACCCATGAAATATAACTACCTGGCCATCGAAACTATGCGATTATGGATGAAACATGTAACAGTGATAACCATTGTCATCGGGCACTTGGTACCATGTCCAAGAATTTGACTAAATACATCAAGAAATTGTAGCTTCCTGCAATAACAGCAGCGGAACTGCAAAAACTACTCGGAACATCGTATATTTTAAGAAGGTACTCTGTTGATAACTAGGACGCTGGCAGCAACCCGTATCAACCATCAGCACCAGTCAATGATATTTGTGATGCATTTTTGAATGTTCAGTTGACTGATTTTCATGTTTAATGAATAAAAGATAATAATAATAAAAAACTGCCATCTCTTTCTCTATCAATAGTCTTATACATCCCTATTATAGCCTCTTACTCCCTCTTTCTAGTGGACCCATAGCCCTGGATTGTTTTTCTTCCTTGATCATTATGACTGATTTTTTTTCTTTTGGCATCTCTTTTAGATCTCCAGCAGATATTTTAAAGTTCAGTGAAATGAAATTGGGCATTTGACTGCCTGCAGGTTGAGATTTGTTACATGGATCATATTTCCTTTCCAAAGAACAATTTAATAGTTATTTAAGGGCATATGAGTCATATGTTACACCCAGGTAGTTATCTTAAGCTGCAGGATTTGAATATTAAGGCAACAATGAATGGTTAAGGATCTGTGTACATGTTTAATAATTACTCTATTTTTATTGCTAAGAGAATGCCAAAATAACTTGGCCAAGTTTTAGTTTCGGTGATTGGATCTCTGCCTTAGGCAGCAAAATGTATCGGGCACATCTTATTTATATTCTGGCACAGCTTTTCTTTGGTATCAAGCACGCTTCTTTTTATATTCCCAGATATTTCAATGAATTTTAATCGTCAATGGAATTAACTTTCTGCTACTTTTTCCTTGATGGTTATGCAGACTTGGCAGTTTTATGTAATGTTTATATTGCCAGCTTCCCTTTTATTCTATTTTCTTTTTAATGTGTGTAACCCGACACCAAAAAGAATAAGTTATGTATACAGTAATAACAGAAGTGTTTTTGGAATAAAGTTGTTGCAACAGTATACAAAATATTTCCTTATTCTGTGTCAAATTTGTTAACCAGTGACTGAGGCTGCATCTATACTTCTTGCCCAACTGCTGGAATTAGCTGGCAATCATTTCTGGAAGACAAAAATGGATGACATCACCCTCCATTGGGGATGTTTTGATGGTGGGATGAGGATCTGTGAGGATCTGTCACAAACAAGAACATTCTAACTCTCTATCTGCATCCCACTGTCCTAGCAGACTGTGCAGTGCTGAGACACAAAGATTCTGAAGTCAGATCTTCACCACCATTAATATGTTTTGGTCTACCTGCTAAGAAAGCTTTTCTAGTTGCTCTACACCAGGGGTCACCAACCTTTTGGAACTCAGGGACCACCAAACTCATAATTTTAGATCCCAGCGACCATTAACTGGTTTGGTGGGCGTGGCCTAATTTGTGGGTGTGGCTTGGTGGTCATGTGACTGGCTGGGCAAGGCTTGTATGTAAATATTATAAATATTTATATAAATATTGAATTTTTTTTAATAAAAAAGAGCAACTTTTACCCAAAATCAGGCAAAGCAGGCAGACAGATTGAGTTGCTCACAGAATCACAGATTCATTCAGAAATCTATCTATCTGCCATTGGCTAGCTCAGTCTGTCACATAAAATTTGCTTGCAAGCAAACTCACAAACTTAACTCACAACACACCATGCATGTAAATATTGATATTTTTTTTTATAAAAAAGCAACTTTTATCCAAAATCAGGCAAAGCAGGCAGATTGAGTTGCTCACAGAATCATTCAGTGATCTATCTACCGTGTTGCTCACAAAATAAGTCCGGGCCTTATTTTTTTTTGACCCCCGAAAAAATAGCTAGGCCGTCTTTTTGGGGGTGACTTAATTCCCTCCCCTTGCAACCTCGGGTGGGTGGGCAGCGACAGCTTGGATGTTGACCTCGGCGTTGGTGGGGCACTTCGTATCAGGAGACCTTCTGCCACCGTTGCTTTCCCTTCTCCCTTGCTGCTGCGGCATTTAGAGCAACGCCGCGGTGTTTGGCGCAGCCATGTGTAGCCAGGCAGGGCTCCTCCCTGCAACCGGAGCCCAGCGGAGACACTCGGCTTCAGGCGCTCCTGTCGCCGCCTTCCCTTTGCCTTCGAAGGTAAAGCCAATTATTTTAAAAACAACGCCCTACTACAACAAAGCCTCCCCTGCCTGAGAGGGCAGCCCAACCCCACGTGGGGAGGCGAATCTCCCAGGGCCGCTGTAAAGGATCAGCCCACCTCAGGAGAAGCGCCCAGTCGCCATCCCTGCCTGGTGCTGGGCAGAGCGCAAAGAGCTTCGCCTGGGGCACCCAGCGCAGCTGACAGGCGGGCCCTCCTTCCTGGCAGCAGAGCTCTCACCAAGGCAGCAAGCGCCTCCCCGCCAGACCCTCTGCTCATCCCGCCAGGGCCACGCCAGAGCTTTATGGGCTGGGCAGAGCCAGGAAAGTGAGCCAAGGGTGCGTGCCCGCCTGCCAAGCAAAAGAGCCGGGCTGACCTGAGCTTGGCTTCCTTCCCAAGTCCCTCCAGCGTGAACCCGAAGGGGCCACTGGGAGAGGCTGCCCGAGGCAGTGATAGCGCCCACCCGTTCATGGACAGGGAGGC